AAGGGATGTTGAATTTTGTCAAATGCTTTCTCAGCATCTAGTGAGATAATCATATGGTTTTTTTCTTTAAGTTTGTTTATATAGTGGATTACATTGATGGATTTCCGAATATTGAACCATCCCTGCATTCCTGGGATAAAACCTACTTGATCATGATGGATGATTGTTTTGATGTGGTCTTGGATTCGGTTTGCTAGAATTTTATTGAGTATTTTTGCATCGATGTTCATAAGGGAGATTGGTCTGAAGTTCTCTTTCTTTGTTGGGTCCTTGTGGGGTTTGGGAATGAGTGTAATTGTAGCTTCATAGAACGAATTGGGTAGTGTTCCTTCTGTCTCTATTTTGTGGAATAGTTTGAAGAGAATTGGTATTAGGTCTTCCTTGAAGGTCTGATAGAATTCAGCACTAAAACCATCTGGTCCTGGGCTTTTTTTAGTGGGGAGACTTTTAATGACTGCTGCTATTTCCTGAGGGGTTATGGGACTATTTAGATGGTTTATCTGCTCCTGGTTTAATTTTGGTACCTGGTATCTGTCTAGGAAATTGTCCATTTCATCCAGGTTTTCCAGTTTTGTTGAGTATAGGCCTTTGTAGTAGGATCTGATGATTTTTTTAATTTCTTCCGTTTCTGTTGTTATGTCTCCCTTTTCAGTTCTGATTTTATTAATTTGGATACTCTCTCTGTGCCCTCTGGTTAATCTGGCTAACGGTTTATCTATCTTGTTGATTTTCTCAAAGAACCAACTCCTGGTTTTATTGATATTTTGTATTGTTCTTTCGGTTTCTATTTGGTTGATTTCAGCCCTGAGTTTGATTATTTCCTGCCTTCTACTCCTCCTGGGTGTATTTGCTTCTTTTTGTTCTAGGGCTTTTAGTTGTGCAGTCAACTTGTTAGTGTGTGCTCTTTCCAGTTTCTTTTTGTAGGCACTTAGAGCTATGAGTTTTCCTCTTAGCACTGCCTTCATGGAGTCCCACAAGTTTTGGTATGATGTGTCCTCATTTTCATTGAAATCTAAAAAGTCTTTAATTTCTTTCTTTATTTCTTCCTTGACCAAGTCATCATTGAGTAGAGAGTTGTTCAGTTTCCATGTGCACATGGGTTTTCCATTGGTTTTGTCATTATTAAAGACCAGTCTTATTCCATGGTGATCTGATAAGAGGCAAGGGATTATTTCAATCTTTTTGTATCTGTAGAGGCTTGTTTTGTGACCAATTATATGGTCTATTTTGGAGAAGGTACCATGAGGTGCTGAGAAAAAGGTATATTCTTTTGTTTTAGGATGAAATGTTCTATAGATGTCTGTTAAGTCCATTCGGTTCATAACTTCTGTTAATGTCAAAGTGTCTCGGTTTAGTTTCTGTTTCCATGATCTGTCCATTGCTGAGAGTGGGGTGTTGAAATCCCCCACTATTATTGTGTGAGGTGTAATGTGTGTTTTGAGCTTTAGTAAAGTTTCTTTTATGTATGTAGGTGCCCTTGCATTTGGGGCATAGATGTTCAGAATTGAGAGTTCACCTTGGTAGCTTTTTCCTTTGATGAGTATGAAGTGTCCTTCCTTATCTTTTTTGATTAATTTTGGATGGAAGTCGATTTTATTTGATATTAGAATGGCTACTCCAGCTTGTTTCTTGGGACCATTGGCTTGGAAAATTGTTTTCCACCCTTTTATTCTGAGGTAGTGTCTGTCTTTGTCACTGAGGTGTGTTTCTTGTATGCAGCAAAATTCTGGGTCTTGTTTGTGTATCCAGTCTGCTAGTCTGCGTCTTTTTATTGGGGAATTGAGACCATTGATGTTAAGAGATATTAAGGAAAAATGATTGTGGCTTCCTGTTATTTTTGTTATTAGAGGTAAAGTTATGTTTGTATAGTTATCTTCTTTTGGGGTTGTTGGAAGATTACTTCCTTGCTTTTTCTAGGTTGTAGTTTCCCTCCTTGTGTTGGCGTTTTCCATCCATTATCCTTTGAAGTGCTGGGTTTGTGGGAAGATATTGTGCAAATTTGGTTTTGTCATGGAATATCTTGGTTTCACCATCTATATTGATTGAGAGTTTTGCTGGGTATAGTAATCTGGGCTGGCAATTGTGTTCTCTTAGGGTCTGTATGATGTCCGTCCAGGCTCTTCTGGCTTTTATAGTCTCTGGTGAGAAGTCTGGTGTAATTCTTATAGGTCTGCCTTTATATGTTACTTGACCTTTTTCCCTTACTGCTTTTAGTATTTTTTCTTTGTTTTGTGCATCTGATGTTTTGATTATTATGTGACGGGAGGTATTTCTTTTCTGGTCTAGTCTATTTGGTGTTCTGTAGGCTTCTTGTATGTTTATGGGCATCTTGTTCTTTAGGTTAGGGAAGTTTTCCTCAATAATTTTGTTGAAGATATTTACTGGCCCTTTAAGTTGGGAATCTTCATTCTCATCTATACCTATTATCCTTAGGTTTGGTCTTCTCATTGTGTCCTGGATTTCCTGGATGTTTTGAGTTAGGAGTTTTTTGCATTTTGCATTTTCTTTGACAACTGTGTCAATATTTTCCACCGTATCTTCTGCATTTGAGATTCTCTCTTCTATCTCTTGTATTCGGTTGGTGATGCTTGCGTCTGTGACTCCTGATCTCTTTCTTAGGTTTTCTATCTCCATGGTTGTCTCCCTTTGAACTTTCTTTATTGTTTCTATTTCTAGTTTCAGATCCTGAATGTTTTTGTTTAATTCCTTCTTTGTGTTTTCTTCCATTTCTTTAAGGGATTTCTGTGATTCCTCTTTAAGTGCTTCTATCTGTTTACTTGTACTCTCCTGTATTTCTTTAAGGGAGTTACTTAATTCCTTCTTATAATCCTCTATCATCATCATGAGAAGTGATTTTAATTCTGAATCCTGCTTTTCAGGTGGGATGGGTGTTCAGGGCTTGCTATATTGGGAGAACTGGGTACTGATGATGCCAAGAAACTTTGGTTTCTGTTGCTTATGTTCTTGCACTTGCGTTTTGCAATCTGGTTAACTCTAGTGTTACCTGTCCTCACTGTGTAAGACTGGAGTCTATATTTCCAGTTATCTTGCTTGTGGCAGAGCTCCTCCGAGTCCAGATGTCTCCATGGTCTTATGATCCTAATCTCCTGGGTGGAAGAACTTCTGGGACTCAGGCCACCTCTTGGATCTGGAAATCCTTCTGCTCTGGGTGCAGTGGTTCCTCTAAGATGGCTCCGGATAAGATGTCTCCCAAGTGCAAACCACCTTGGTGTCTGCTGCTATGAGTGCAGTAGCTCCTCGGCTGCTCTGAGTGCAGTGGCTCCTCTAGGATGGCTGAGGATTCAGTATCTCCACAGGAGCAGACCAACACTGTGTCTGCCCCAGCCCAAAGGCGGGAAATGATTTTTTAAGCCTTAGGAAGTTCACCATTATTTGGATTTGTGACAACTTCTATGTTAGTGTGGAATTGAAATTTATGTTTTTCTTTTTATTTCTTTTTTTTCTTTTTATCCAGGATACCAAAAATAAAAAAACAATCGCAGCAAGTGCTTAAGGATCAGGTCGAGGTAAAGTGTCTGAGTGTGTGTGTGTGCGCGTATGTTTTCTTTAGTCCATTTCTGTCTTGTATGTGCCCTCTCCCACCTGTATGTGGTAACTGACACATTCTCAAGGAGAACCCAATACTCAAAGTTCATAGAGACTAGTGTAGAATAACAATTTAGTTAAAACCTCTTCCTGAAAAGGGGATCACCACCACCCCACTGCCACTGCAGAGGGCCTCTGGTTCCCAATTGCACCACTTGCTGTGAGCACAGCTGGACAGGTTTTCCTCAGATGAGCTCCTCTTCCCTCCAAGTGCTGGGATTACAAATGTGTGCTACCACACCCACCTGAGCTGGCTGTTTGACATAACATCCAACTCTAAAGAATTTAATGGCTCTTTCAGCTATTTAGAGAGATTTTTTTTTATGTTGTTACAATTTTATTTGTGCACAACAGTGAAGAGATTACTGTACAGTTTAATATTCTAGCCTAAATTTATTTTGATTTAGTGCATCTTTGCATTTGACCATTGTGAGCTGCAGATTTGGTTTTGGTGACTGTGAAATTTTTGTGTTGAAGGTCAGGTATTTGTAGATGAATAAACAGAACTTAAATGGAAAGTCAGGTGAGTGCTGAACATTCACAGAGGGGCATGCCTGCAGTTCCAGCATCCTGGAGACTAGCAGGCAGATTGCTGAGAGCTCCAGCCCAGTTTGGGCTACAGACTGAGAACCTGTGTGTCTCAACAAACGAGACAAACAGAAAAGCCAAAAAGAAAATCAGGCAAAAAGTCAACCTTGTTTGAACACCTTGCTCTTTTTCCAGGTGTACTGTAGGGTGCGTCCCCCGAGCTTCCCTGATCAGCAGTGCTGTGTGGAGGTGCTCAATAGTACAACGGTGCAGCTCCACACTCCTGAGGGCTGTCGGCTCCAAAGTAATGAAGGCTATAAGCAGGTAGGTTCCTAGTGGAAACCTTGTTGTCAGTTTTGAGTTTAAAAACTCATGTGCAATCTCATGTGTGGGAAGGAGTACTTCAGCCACCTTATCTAAAATAGCTTTCATTTCTGGGACATACAGATAGACTTTTGGTATGTTGGAATTGGGGGGTTGCTTTCAGGGGATTTTTTTTTCTTTCTCTTTTTGTATTTTTGATATTTTTGAGGTAGGATGTTACTGTGTAGGCCTGGCTGTCCTGAAACTCATTATATAGGCAAGGCTGGCTTGGAACTCACAGAGATCTCCTTGCCTCTGTCTTCTGAGTGGTGGGATTAAAGGCATGTGCCACCATCACCTGACTTTCAGAGGACATCCTAAAACTGAATATATGAAACTTCACATGAGAAGATTTGAGTAACATTTAATAAGAGGTATTTTGTGTGCTTTTCCCTTCCCTGGGGCTTGAACCTAGGATCCTGTGGATGCTAGGCAAGTGCTCAGCCATTTGAGCTACACCCACAGTAGTATTGTTGTATGTGTGGATCAACCATAAAGGTTTTATTTTGTTTCTCTGGCAATATCACCATGTAGCCCAGTGTGTTATTCCTGTTCTATTGCTATAAAGAGACACATGACCACGGTAACTTAGGAAACATTACAGTTTCAGAGGGTTGGTCCGTGATCATCATTGTAGCAAGCATGGTGGTACACACGTGGCACACTGGAGCAGTAGCTGGGAGTTTATATTCTAATGAGCAACCAGGAGGCCGGAAGAGAGACAGTAGGCTTTTGAAACCTAAAACCCACCCCCATTGCACACCTCCTCCAACAAAGCCACACCTCCTAATCTTTCCTAAACAGACTCCCAACTGGGAACCAAGCATTCAAATATCTGACCTTTCGGGCTACATTCTGATTCCGACCATCACACCTAGGGTGGCCTCAAAACTACTTCTGGTCCCCCTGTTTTGGTCTCCCTAGTACTGAAATTAGAAGTATGAATCCCTTGATGCCTTGAGTGGGTTTTGTTGCTGTTTGATTTTTGTGGTGTTAGGGATTGAATGCAGGACCTTGTTCGTCTTTGGCATTTTTTTTTTTTTTTTGGGAGATAGCATCTCTCTATAGCTCAGTCTGGCTTTGAACTGGTGGGTGACCCACCTGGTATTAGAGGCATGTATCACCATTTTTTACCAGGTAAGTGTTTTCTTTATTATTTGCAGTGTTTGGAAGTGAATTTAAGGCCTCCTGAATGTTTGGCAAGTATTAGACTACTGAGGTGTATTGAGAGAGTTTTTATGTCTAATGAAGTAGAGAATAAAATGAATAAATGTGAAATACTAGCCTAAGCTACTACTGTGATACTAAAGTTTAAGAGGCTGAAGCAAGAGGGTCATGAGTTCCAGACCAGCCTGTGCTGAAGAGGGAGACCTGCTTCCAGTAACAATAACAAAGAATATAAAGATATATTTAGCTATGGATACATTCTATTAGTTCTCCAAATGTTGTAGGAGGCTAGTTACTCTCTGGTAGGGAAGAGGTTTTTTGTTTTTGTTCAAAGTAAAACTGCCTTTATGGACATTATACCCGAACTGACAATTAGACAAGTAATTTCATAAGGCAGGAAGTCAGATTTTCTGAAGGGATGGGGATATGCGAATGCAGAAAGTAGATGATTGATTTAGGTTTTCTGAGTTTGAACTGCCATTCACTCTTTTGTTTGTTGAGACAGGGTCTTAGCCTCTAATCTGTCTGTCCTGGGGTTGCTGTGTAATCTAGGGAGCCTTTAAACTTGTGACAAATTGTCTACCTCATTTTCTTATGTGCTGAGATTCCAGGCCTGAGCCGCCACACTGGGCTGCCATCCAGCTTGTGCTCACTGCTTCAGTGACTCTCTTCTGTAGACTTCCCATGTCCCCTGTGCTGCTAACTTTGTCTCTTTATCTCAGCAGCCCGCCCCTTCCTGAAGCTTGCTCTGCTTGCCCTCTTTAGCTTTAGGCTGTTTTGTCACTGTCCCCTCTGCTGGCTTCTGTCTAGCCTCTGAATACTAAGGTGGGCTGTGTTCAGGGCTCTTCCCCTAACCCCCTCTTTCTCATCTTTCTGTTTTCTGTTTATTTGCTTCCTGGTTTGTTTGGTTGTTTGTTTCTGAGACAGGGCCTCACATATTAACTTGGCTGAACTAGAACTTGTCTTAGCCTCCTGAGTTAGTTTCTGTGGGAGATCTGAACCAATCTCCCACTGTCATGGTGGCATAAGTTTATAATTCAGCACTCTGGAGGTAGAGGCAAGAGGATCAGCAATTCAAGTTCTTCCTTGGTTACATAGTAAGTTCAAGACTACCTTGGGTTAATAAGACTGTCTTAAAGAATTTTACATATATGTGTATACATACACATATATATGTATACATACATACACAAATATAAAAATACATTGCAAAAAGTAACATTTATTTTGTGTAAGAACTCAGATAATGCTGGGTGGTACATGCCTTTAATCCCAGCACTTGGGAGGCAGAAGTGTGCGGATCTTTAGGAGTCCAAGGGTAGCCTGCTTTACAGAGTGAGTTCCAGGACTGCTGAACAGATAAGACAGCACAATGAACCCCTGTCTTAACAAACAACAAATAAACCCAAAAACTATAAAAAACTTTATAAGATTATATTTATAACTCATTTCTAGATTTAAAATGTACACTTGTTATTTTGCCGTCCTATTTATAACATCTTTTTATATATATTTTTGTTTGTGTGTACATTATGTACTTAGGAGGGCAGAGAATAACCTATAGACCGTTCTCTCCTTTCACCAGGTGGGTTCCAGGGATTGAGCCTAGGTTCTCAGGCTTGCTAGCCAGTGCCTTTACCTGTTGAGCCATCTTGTTGGTTCTTGCTGCTTTACACAGACCTTTGTAAAGAACAAATAGAGAGCTGTGGCCAATGGTGGTGCATGCATGTGATCCTAGCACTTGGAAGCAAGGGCAGGAGGATCACTTAAACTTGAAGGCCAGCCTGGTCTGTCTACATTGCAAGTTCTAGGCCAGCCATAACTACATACAGACTGTTTCATACAAACACACTCCAAAGAAGAGAAGAGAAAAGAAAGAACAACAAATAGAAGCTATAATGCTTGAAATTTTTAATACATTTATTTACATATTTTGATTTTTTTTGATAAGGGGTCTCTGTATAGCCTTGGCTATCCTGGAACTCACTCTGTAGACCAGGCTGATTTCAAACTCAGATCAGCCTGTCTCTGCCTCCTCAGTACTGATATTAAATGTGTGTGCCTCCACTGCCTGGCATAAATTTAGGATTATAGGCCATTACCTTGTTTTGCTTTGTTTGTTAACAGGATCTTACACTATAGCCAAGTCTGGCCTATGACTATGTGTAGCCCAGGCTGCCATCAGACTCATGGCAGACTTCCTGTCTCAGCCTCTGTAGCACTGGCTATACAAGCTCACTTTTGTTCACTCTTAATCTGTGCAGCATTAGTGGACTCAATGACTTTTCTTCACTTTTCCTCAGTGGCTAGGACTGAAGGTAATTGTTACGATAGCTGTGATTTATGTACATTTTGACTACTGAAGGCTCCAAGCCTAAAGATCATTCTTGTTTTTGTTTTTTTTTTGTGGTTTTTTTTAACGTGTCTGGATTTGATATATGTTCACAACAGAAACATTCCAAGTATAGAACAGATATAGCTCTAATGGAATTCTGTGTGGTGATGTCTTTCTTTTCTCCACAGATGAAATATAATTTTACCAATGTGTTTGATATGCAGTCCACCCAGAAGGAAATCTTCTATGTCATAGCCAATCCCTTAGTGGATAACCTCATTCATGGCAAAAATGGTATGATTCTTGGAGTTTTGCTGAACTCCCTGTTTCATCTTGTGATAAAACTTTGTGATATTTATATATTTGGCTTGACATTGAATTCATATTTAACTCATTAGAGTGATGCTCTTTTTGTGGTTTATTAATTTTAGTGTTTTAAATACAACGAAATGTTCTGTGGGACTTTAAGACTATAACTCATTGTTACTTGCTACACTGTAGGTTTGCTGTTTACGTATGGCGTGACAGGAAGTGGGAAGACGCATACAATAGCAGGGTCTCCGGGGTCCGGAGGCCTGGTTCCCCATACCTTAAAAATTATATTTGACATAGTAGGATCATATCTAGGAAAACGTTATGTATGTACAATTTCGTTGGTTTGTGACTGTTACTATAGACACGGGACTGGGACATGGATGGATGGAGTACTGAGGAAGGACAAAGACACTGGGACTGCTTTGACTCTTACACGTGGTGGTGGGCACGTTGGCTGCGGGCCTGTGGTGGCAGCACTTGGGGGGTATAAACAAGAGGATCAAGCGCTGTCTCATGCCCTTCCCCCAGGTTTAAGTGTTAAAGTGCATCCTATTTTTAAATGTTCCTATTCTTTAAGTAAAGTTCTTATTTTCAAGTCTTTTTTGCCTCTCTCTTAGGTTTTTAAGTCTAATCACAGGAACAGCATGGAGATTCAGCCTGAAGTTGATGCCTTGTTGGAACGGCAGAAAAGAGAAGCCATGCCCATTCCAAAGACCCACTCTAGCAAGTGAGTAGGTGACCCAGGAAGGGTGGAATTCTGTCCTACAGTTTCTATAGATCTGGAGAAGGTAAATACGAATAGAAAAGTTGGTCTTACAACTGACTTTTGTCAGGTCAGAATTGAGGCGGCACATTCTTGACTGCTCAGGTATTTTATCTAGTTTAAGGAGGATATGTCTGTGAATGGGAGGAAGGCGAATTCCTGTGTTGTGCATCTTGAGGACTTAGGGCGTCCTTGACCCACCTTGAATCTGAATAACATTGCTTTATGATTTCAACTTTATGTGACAGAACATTTGTCAGACTTTTCAGATTTCACTCTGATATCGTCTCAATTAGGTATCTATTGCTGTGATGAAATATATTGAACAGGGAAGCAGCTTGAGGAGGAAGGGATTTATTTTATCTTTCACTTCCAAGTAACAGTCCATCACTGAGAGAAGTCAAGGCAGGAACTCTAGGCAGGAGTTGATGCAGAAGCCATGGAGGGCGCTATTTTCTGGTTTGCTCCTATGGCTTGCTCAGCTTACTTTCTTATACAACCCAGGGCCACCTGCCCAGGGTTGGTACTACACATATCAATCATTAATGAAGAAAATGCTAGACAGACTTGCTTGTTGGTCAGTTTTTTAGAGGTAGGTATTTTCTCCAATTGAGAGCCCCTTTTCCCAAAGACTCCAGCTTGTGTCAAGTTGACATAGAACCATCCAAGACAGCCGTTATCTACTTTCTATCCTAGCTCATAGTGGGTAAATTTTCAAGTAAGGGAATCTGTTTTCTTGTAGGAGACAAGCAGAGCCAGACCTTAAAAATATGTTAGAAGACTTCCAGGAATTGGGCAAAGCAGAAAATTTTGACGAGGACAGTGTCTATGGAGTATTCATCTCGTACATTGAAATCTATAATGATTACATATATGATCTACTGGAAGAAGTGCAGTTTGATCCCATAAAGCCCAAGTAAGTACTGAAGAGAGCCTCCTGTCAACCTAGAAAACTACCCTCAGCAAGCCATGGTTACTTATATAAATGGGGATAATGCTTGCATTTGTTTTCAGGGTGTACAGAAATAATAATCAGATAGTCATGTTGGATGAATAATTTTCTTCCATTTTCTTTGTTGTTATTGTTGTTGTTGTTTTGAGACAAGAGTTTCTCTGTGTAGGCCTGGCTGTCCTGATACTCGTAGAGAGATCCACCTGCCTCTAGCTCCTGAGTGCTAGGATTAAAGGCGTGTGCCATCACTGCCTGGCAATCCTTAGACTGTAGCTGTATCAGGAAACCAGTGGGTTAAGACATAGTGAGTAACCTGAAAATCGTGGAAATTGCTTTTGAAAGTTTAGTCTTAGGTTTGAGACAAATCTCAGTCTTATAGG